TCTTAATATAAAAGATTTTTATTAAAAAATAAAGAAATATGAGATCATCCTTCCTCTTCTTCCTCCTCCTCCCTCCTCCCCCCTCCTCTTAAGGAGGCTTATGCCTCCTTGTGTTCGGGAGGCTTATGCCTCTTACGTTCTGAACTATGCCTCTCACCTCTAGGTAGTGGAATGCCTGATGTCATGCCTCCACGTTTTAAAACATTGATACTGATACTCTTATTCTGTTGATAAACACTACTCAAATATTTAACATGATCTGTCCTTGTTAAGTAAGGTGGTGTATTATGTATTGGTTGATTTATTCTTAGAGTTGGAACACTGTAGTTATTGAATATGGTTTACTTCCTCAAAACATGGCCTGATAATTACATTTTTGTTTTTGAGATTATGAACTTTTTGTCCTAATGCATGGACATTTTATGCAACAATAAAAGCGCCAATTGCAGGTTGCAAGGATTTTGAATCTGGTTTATCTTATCCAGTATCTTGATCATGCTAAGATATTTCGTTGATGTCAGGTGGCATTCAAAAGCTTATTATGATGGATACATCATATGACATGGTAAGATTGTGCAGAGGTGCTGTACTAGATGCATCTGGTAGTGATATTGAAACATCATTTGTTGTTGGTGATGAGGAGTTCTTGCCTATAAAGGAAAGGTATGCTTCTTCAGCAATCTGTGTGGATCCACTTGATGTTGAAACTAACAGGATTTACTACTCCCTTTCGTTTTTTTTGGAGATCTCAATATTACCTAGTAACAACTTCCATTTGTAAAGTTCTCTAGATCTCATTGTCAGTTGTTTGGGACTTCATTGGACAAATGATCTTCCTGGAGCCATGATACAAGTGTGTTGCTTCTCTTAACTGAAGGGCTGATTATTTATTTGCATTTTTTGGAGAGACAGACCTTTTATTTTTYTGCTTGTGGTCTTTAATACTGACACTTTCAACATATTTTTTGCAGTGTAGATTGGCATTGAAGCCTGATGGCCTTTTCTTAGCAGCTATTCTTGGTGGAGAGACTTTGAAGTTATTTAATTCTATTTCTTGTAAAAGAAAATTGGGTATTTAAATAATT